GTTCAGCGTTTGGGATTTCGCATTTAGGGTTTAGCCTCAAGTTTGGTGGTTCGGGTTTTGTTAAAACGCGGAAGGTTTAGAGAAAATACCAACCCCAATCCCTCAAGAGATCCTTCTTGGATTGGCGGTTGGGGGAAGGTTGGTGTTCCATCTCCACATTGCCAGAAGAGGATTAGGGTTTAGGGGTGTAGGGTTCAGGGTTTAGGGTTTAGGGGTGTCGGGTTTAGGGGTGTAGGGTTCAGGGTTTAGGGTTTAGGGGTGTAGGGTTCAGGGGTGTCAGGGTTTAGGGTCGCAACGCGACCCTGTCGAGCAAACTCTACGTGTCCCCGCCTGCGGGGATTCCAGATCGGGCTGGCCGGGATCAGGATGACACCAAACCCTAAGCTCCTACAGTAAAAGCCAAAAAGCTGGAATACAGATCCCCTTAAAGGAACCCTAGGTATTCCTAAACTAAGGGGCCCCGTGGAGTCTCTAGCAATAAGGTAGAAGCCAGAAAGTTGGAATATGATTATCCTAAACCCTTTATGGTAAATTATAGGGTATCCTACCCTGAAACCATATTCCAACTTTCTGGAGTTCCCTTTAAACTGTAAATGCCCTCAACCGTGAGTGCTGGCTGAGCTGAACTTGTTGTGCCTCTTTATTTATCGTTTTTCATTTTAGCATCTGTGTTGCACCGGTTTTCACGTGTGCAAGCAACTGGAGGAGAGCGAGAGAAAGAAAGGGAGACAGAGAGACAGAGAGAGAGAGAGATTGTGTGTGTGTGTGTGAGAGGCAGGGGCCTCATCCAAATGACATGGGAGTGCAGACGCCAAGACAAACACACAAGCCTGTCAGCATTTAATAATGACATAAAATTGTTTACATACGTAAGCACTTGCATACAGAAGTACATATTTGCATATACATACACACACATATGTACATTGTACATGAATATGCATATATCATCGGTCTGTCCATTAAATAGATACAAAAAATACTAAGTAGATGAATAATTTTTAAGCCTTGCATATATATATATACACACATACACATATAAATGAATGCATATGTGTACACGCACATATGTATAGACGTATGCGTAGCTACAGTTTGAGTACACGCAGATGCCCACACCTCTGTGTGTAACGATAGTTGGCCTTGATAACTATCGTTTGTGTGTCTGTGCAAAGACATTGACATTGACTCCTGCGGTCATGAGTGGAGATGCATAGCGATGTCTTCAGGTTTAACAGCAGACAATCGCACACGCACTGTCTCTCTGTCTCTCTCTCTCTCTCTCTCTCACTCTCCCTCTCTCTCTCTCTCTCTCTCCATCTCTCTCTCTCTCTCTCTCTCTCTCTCTCTCTCTCTCTCTCTCTCTCTCTCTCTCTCTCTCTCTCTCTCTCTCTCTCTCTCTCTCTCTCTCTCTCTCTCTCTCTCTCTCTCTCTCTCTCTTTCTCTCTTCCAATATACATCGATATCATATATATATAGATGTGTATATATAATACACACATATATGTATATACATATATATGTATGTACGTATGTGTGTATATAAACATAGATACACGCATATCAATGCATTTACGCAACCGGAAGATGCAAGCAAGGTAGTTGGGCAGATGGGTCGGCCAGACAGGTAGACCGCACATAGATGGGTCTAACGATGAATGCGCACTCATCCACACATGCGCGCACACAAACAGTCGTTTTGTCGCCATCCCTCTCTCGAAGTATCGCCGCGCAATATATATATATATATATATATGTATATTTCTTGTTATACGTACACGTATGTATATATGTGCACATGTAATATGTAAATTTAATTAGGTGTGATTCGTCTGTTCGTGCGTGTTTATTATGTACATACACACATGCATATGTCTGTCTGCCATAAGGGTATGCAGTCGATCTGTGTAACAGCCCGAAACAGTAAACCTTTTCAACCGTAAGTCCAAAATACTAAACTACCCTAAATGAAGCCGAAATACCCTGGGCATCAAAATAGCCCAAAAGCCTTATATGTTATGGTCTTTGGGTCAAAAGCCTTAATATATGAGTCCTTAGATGCCTAGGGATACTAAGCTACCCGAAAGGAAGCTTAAAGCCTGAACCGTAGCAGCCCAGCCCGCTGGCTGACCCAGCAAAGACACGCTCCTGGCAGCTTCCATCGGTAATGTCGAGGTTGAGGGTTTAGGCTAAAAGCCCTAAACCCCTAGACCCCGAAACTCCTGGACCCCAACCACCAAAACTAGGGTCCAGGATCTAAGGAGAACAAGTAGTTCTAATATCCCTTTACCGTCTTCGTATGCACTATAAATGGTATAAAGTATCCCCCCCGGCCTGTTCGAAGTTCTAAGGCCCCTACATTAGGGGCCCATGGGCCCATACGGGTTGAACTCCTTTAAGACAGGGTTTAAAGGGATGTTTGGGATTATATATAGGTTTAGAGATTTAAGGGACTGCGGATTAGGGATGTATGGGATTGAGGTTTAGGGGTTTAAAGGACGTAGGCGTAGGGATTGTAGGGATTTTGGGGATGTAGGTTAAGGGGCATAAGGTTGAGGCCTCCTCGTGAATTGGCAGATCTTCTCTGGACCTGTGTATTTTCGAGATCTTTTCGTATTTAAAGCGGCTTTGGGTGTATGACTGACTGAGTTGCTCCGTCGCGAGTTCGACGCTGGAACGTGTGTCCTTGTCTATGCTGAGGCTTCATGGTTCAGGGGTTATGAACGATGCAGGGTCTTCGGGTGTAGAGTGCGGGGCACATAGGGTTCAGGGTTTGTGGCATCAAATGTCGTAAAATAAGGTCGTGTTCTCAACGGAAGAAGACCAATACTACGCTGATGTAGGATTTGTCGTTTGGTGGCACCCTACCCTAAGGGTCGAGGTATCTCCTTAGGAGGGTCCGGAATGTCCTAGGGAGAGTCCTTGGGTCTCTGTAGGGTTTCAAAGACCTTAGGGTAAAGCCTAAACTGGTGCCGTGCTTCCCGTTTAACACCCAGGCCAGGATCCTAAGGACCACACCCCTGCTTCAGGGCCTAAACCCGGAATATACCCCGAACCCTAACGAGGAAATCCTAAAAAACAACGAAGCCCTGAATAAAACCTAAGCCCCAAACCCAAGACCCGATAGTCTTCAAACTCCCAACACGCGAAATCTGGTCCGTGGCCTTAAGAGGCATCCGCCGAACATGTAAGCAACAGGCCCGACCTTGTGGGTGACTTCACAGTCCTCCTGGTGATTACTGGGAATGGGGGAATGGATTGGATCCCTATACTAGTCCCTATGTAAGCCCCAATAATGGTCCCCATAATCCATTCTCCCCTTCCCTACTAAGATCCAGACAAATTTGGCGTCTATGGTAGGAGGTAGATCTAATCGTACCTACTCCCTAAACCCGAAACTGCCAGGATTTGCAAGTATCGTAAACGGTAGATGCGACTTCTCAGGGGTTCTCGTAACTCATAGCTCCACGTCAGCCCAGCCCTGAATCCTTCTAGGACGTATGCAGGCGTTATGAACTTGATGTAGGAATCAAGCGAGTGCGCATATCATGTCAAAGCCTAATCCTGGACAATCTTGAAATTGTTCGCCCTGTCTCTGTAGGTGGTCTACTACAGGAGCAATAGAGCTCATAATGGAGTACTTCGGGGCTCAAGCTGAAAGTGTCTCTGCTTTCAGGCGGTCTTCCAATCGATCACCCGTAGCTTCCCACGATCTCGCAAAAAGTCGAAGCTGCGCTGCGACTCCAAGTAGAGAGGGCAGGAGTCGAAGTCCAAGCCTGAAGGGATAGCACAGGGGTGGGAAGAATTACATATAGTGTCCCCTTATAGCTCCCTTGTATTCTACTAGAACATACCCCAAACCCCTTATCCTAATAATTTACGTCTTTATATCAGCAGTCCAAGCTCAAGGGTTTAGGGCTGAGGGAAGGATGCTTTGGGTCCATCTTCAACCCAGAGACTCCAATATCCCTTAATTAAGGAATATACCTTAAATTAAAATAGGATCCCTAATATGATTTAAGGAATATTCCTTAATTAAGGGAGATTGGAGTCTCTGGGAAAGTCACGCAAAGTTGTGTACGTTTGAAAAGCAGTAGCAGACTCCGACAGCAATATACTGTAGATTTATGCATACGTATGTACATACATACGTGCAGACATACATGCACACATACAGACAGACACACCAGCAACATGTATAGCAATCACATCTCTACTAATTAAGGGTTTCATGTGCTTCAGAACATAGCCTGACTTTTTGGGCATTTCCATCACTCTTGCATCACGGCACCGGTGCCCTAAGCTCGAAACTTTAAATCCTTCACTGAACAATCATAACCTACTTCTTTTGTAGGGCTAGGCCTGGAAATACATCAAGCCCGTCCGTAATGGCAGCTTAAGGTGAATACTCAAGCTACAAGTTTTAGCATGCTTGTGGGGTCCAAAGTTTACTAAAGAAAACGGCTCTGGTTGCTGGCAAGGACACACTTCATCGAACTGATGAAAACTATGCAAGATCCTCCCAACCCCGTTCATAGACCTGTGATGAAGCCCTATAAAAATCTTTCTGGGACCTTTCATCAAGCTTTGATAGAAATTCTATGAAATCGCCTCCTCTGGCCCGCAGCGGTAGCTTTGCATCCCTTCCGCTGCTCTGCCATTCACCAGCCGTCATACGCGGCTTGGACGATGGGTTCGTATGTCTGCCTTCAGGGCTTAGGGTTGAGGGTTGAGAGAGAGTGTAGGGTTTAGGGTTTTGGGTTTACATAGGGTTTACGGTTTAGGGTTTAGGGTTTTAGGATTGAGGGTTGAAAGAGAGCGTAGGGTTTATGGTTCAGGTTCAGGTTTCAGCGTTTCAGGGCTTAGGATTTGGAGTGTAGGGTGTAGGTGCTTATGCCAGGGCTCTAACAAGGCTTATGACGGGACCCTGAACCCTGAACCCAATGACCCTAAACCCCAAACCCATGGCTTGAAACTCCCAAATGCTGCCATCCGAGGCCATGAAGACTTTGCTCACCGAGGCTGCTTGGTAGAGTTGGCGTTCTTGGACTACTTGGAGGTTCATAGGTAATTAATTAAAAGAGGGGTTATAAGTAGGGTAACTGTACCTATAACCCATATTATGGGACTTATAGCGCCACTAAACCCTAAACCCTAAACCCAAAACCCTAGAACTTATATCTACCCATGAACCTCCAAGTAGCTTTCAGGGCTTTGGGGTCTAGAGATCAGGGCCTCGTGTTCAGGGTTTGGCATTTGGGGATTAAGGTTTTCGGGACTGGGGCTTTAGGGTTCTGGGGATGAGGAAGTTACTTGGAGCTTCGGGGGACTTAGTAAGTAGGTAGTAAGTAGACTTATAAGTACCCTAAAAGGGACCCTAATTGGGGTTATGGTACTTATAAGTCCCTAAAATGACCAGTTACTAAGTCCCCCGACCCTCCAAGTAGGGAGTTTCAGTCTTACGGGGTCAGGATGTGGGGCAAACGCGAAGCGATGTATTACAGTAATGTTCAGATCGTCCTTCGGCGAGTGAGTGTGCACAGTCATGAAGTGTGTGAGCGGGTACATGCAAGTACATGTGTAAATATGTACATGTAATATTGTACAATAGCTGTGTATGCGCGTTTACCAATTCATCCTAGACGAGCATGATGTCCATGTGCCCAGTGTGCTTCAAGTACTTTGGCCACAGGACTCAACATTTCTTTAGACATGATCGTAGCAAGATGATTACAAGAGCACCGTTCCTGGACTCGATCTTTTCTTTAGAGTACTTTAGCGTTTGGGGTTTCGGGGGTTAGAGTTTGTGGTTTGGGTTTTTGGGTTTGAGGTTTCGGGGTTGGGCCTTCGCAAAACCGAATCCGCACACCTCAAAGTTAGCCAAACCCATAGGCCGTCTCCGAAGTACTCGTGGTGCATGGTTCTTGATCTCAGTTGCTTCGAGAACCTTTGTGTACATATACACATATGCATATATATATATATATGCATAAACATGTGCATATATATATATATATATACATATGTACATACATGCATGCATACGTATATACGTATATACATACATACATACATACATACATACATACATACATACATAATCACGTGTATGACCATGCATATCGCATTCGCAGCTCGAAACAGGTATGTCCAAGACCCTTGCACCCCCGAGTCTCACAGTCGACGGTATGTATGTGTTTAACTGTGTATATATATATATATGTATCTGCAATAACACACAGATATATGTATGTATATAGTTACATATATATATATACATATAAACATATTTATGTGTATATGCACATAGATATTACATACACATGCACACACCCTAAACCCGATGGCCGAAAACCACGAAGCACCAACTCCACAGCCAAGGAGACTGTCAAGGTGCCAAAGGGCCAGTGCCCAAGGGTAGTCGCCCACATGCTGAGGTGTACACCCTAAACCCTAAACCCTCTACGTGCTGTTTTTGAGCCTCCGTTTGGGTTGCAGTTGCGTGCGAGTGTGCCTGAGCGTTCTCTTTGGTGGATGGCCAGACGGTTGAATTTGCAAGGTCCAGGTGTTGGAGTCAGAATGTTTTGGCTCATTCTCAACGTGTGGGGTGTTTAGGCTTCAACTCGTTTCTCCGACACCCACATAGAGCCTGGCTCGGTCTAGGATGGTTTAGGAATGAGGTCGTGTGAAAAATTTGCGATCTCAGCAATTAGTACTAAACAGCGACCCTGGTGCAGTCTTTTTGTGTTGACCAGCTAGAATCATGATTTGTGGACCCTATAATCAGGAGGGTTCAGGGTTTTGGGTCTAGCTGTCACAAGGAACGGTTGATGATCTAAATCCTGCAACACCTTAAGGACCCTAAACTATGGCAGTTATGGTATATTCCTTATTATGGGTAGTGCAGGGTTTAACCGAAGGACTATGAAGGGTACAGGCCGGCTTGGGGAGCTTGGGATGCATTGTCGTAGGCCGCTAGCTTCAGGAGCTGGGCTCCCATTTAATTTAAGTTACCATAATATAGATCTATAGTGAATGATAGGGTTTCTTGATGATTGTAACTTAAATTAGATTCCTGAACGAGAACGCAGCTCTTTGTTCTAGGGTTCCCTTCTTACAACCAAACCGTAGGAAACAGGACACCCTCATTTTTAAAGCACGGCTGGGGAACCTGCCGAGGAAGAGCATCTCTTCCTCCGCAGGTTCCCCAAAGTCGGCGGTTGGATGCTTCATACTCCAGAGTTGTGTCCGAAAAACCGTCAGGTTACCCTTTCAGATCATGGTTAGACGGATCCGATCACCCTTGAAATTTAAGAGAGGTCTGGGAGTTTCCGAAAAACAGGGGTACCTGTTCTGGTCATAATAAGGGTCCTGCTATTTCGGGCAATTTAGGGTACTAGTTTAGGATTCCCCTTTTTCGGAAATTCCCGTATCGGTTGGCAGTGTGTACCTTCGGTGGCTTAGCGGCTCAGCCTGTCTGGGAATTTCCGAAAATAGGGGACCCGAATACAGTATCCTAGATAATAGGATCCTTTTTATAAGGACCCCAAGGCACGGTACCCCCAATATTCGGAAACTCCCGTCTTCCAGCCGCAAGGAAGCATCCGCAAAGCTCGAAACTCTCAGCATCGAGTGCAATGTCTTTCTGAATATACTGGAACAGCTTAAACCAGACTACAAAGGTATTACATACTATGGTCACAATGTACTGAGTCATAGTAGCTTAATATGGTATATATATATATATATATATATGTAGTTTCGGTATACAGCTTTCGTCTAAAGTCTATGTTGCTACAGCTGGGCACTTGCAAGTTGCTGTGCCGAGGAGTCAAGATCACCATCAAGTCCAAGATTGTCGAGGCAACCAGGTAAAGTCTCTAGAAGCCTGAATTGAATGGGCTTTAGGGGGTCTCGGGTTTAGCGGGTTTAGGGTTTAGGGTCATGCGGGGTACTATGCCCTAAGGGTCCATGTTCCCAAATAGTATATACTTTGGCCTCAAAGTAGTCCTAGGATGCCCAGTAGTACCCTTATTCCCTTGTTGTAGTCCTAGGTTCCTTTAAAGTTACCCAATTCCAAAAAGGGAGCCCTTTTTATTCCTAGGTCACTGGGCATCTAGAGTCCCTATTTAGGTACTTTGGTGCGCAAGTCTACACTACTTGGGTATACTATACATGGACCCTTCGGGTCGAATCCCGAATGAGTTTAAATACGAATCCATTGGGCTCCTAATTGTCATACTTATCTTTAGGGTTTAGGGTTCGGGGTTTGGGGTTTAGGGTGTAGGGTTTAGGGTGTTTTACTAGACCACATAACCCAAGTATTGATTGTCAAGGCTCCTATATTGGGGTAGTTGTCAAAATTATGGTTCCTTTTTTGGGTGCCCTACATGTTCGGTGCCATATTATATTCAGGACCCAAAACGGGGACCATAGTTTTAACAACCACCCTTATTCAGATGTAGAGAGTTCGGAATGAGGGTAAAGGGACCCCAATCTGGAGAACTACCCATACCCAGAGACTGAAAAGCCTTTGAATCAATTGCAGAAGGTGTCATATCATCTTGCTCCAAGGATCTCTCTATAAGTTCAGGCAAGTTCATCAAGGGGAGCTCCAGCTTTGATCAAGTATTTCGCAACTTAAACGCTCGGACACCTAAACCCTAAAACCTGAACTGTAAACCAAAACCTAAAGCCAAAATCCCAAAACCTAAGCCCGAAAGTCCTAAACCCTGAACCCAAACCCTAAATCTTGTGGGTCTGGTAAGTAAAGAGCCGAACTCCGTGTACTCAGACGTACCAACCATGAACTCAGGATTCGGGTTAAGGTGTAGGGGTTGTTAAGGGTACGGGGTTTAGGGTTCCTTTAAGTGATCCTTTCAAGCGTGAATATGAGTTTATGGGGTTAGGGCGTAGGATTTTGGGGTTTGGTGAAAGATTTGGGGTTCAGGGTTTGGCATATTTGGTTTAGGGTTCGGGCGTCGGAGGGATTTGGGGTTTGGGACTCCGGATGTAGGTTTTAAGTTTGGGTTAGGGTTTAGGGTTTGGGGTTTAGGGTTTAGGGTTTAGGGTCCCAACAAATCAGCACTGGATCCGAAGCAAAAGGCTCTCAAGCACGAAACTCCACCCAACCCAGCACCCTACCTGAACCTTATACTTAGGCCTTCCACCCGAAATTCACAAGGAGAAAACCCTAAATCCTAAACCCTACACCCTAAACCATAAAACCAACCAACCAACCTAAACTGCCCAAAGAGAGGTGACCGGTAAGCACGGATCTCTGAAGCGCGACTTCAAGCACCTGCCCATTGAGATCTTCCTCTCCGACGGCGGCAAGAAGGCGAGAACCGCAGAGGGTGATGCTTTAGTCCAGCTTTCGAGCTTCACCGTGCAGGGTATCGGTTTTAGAGGTTGGAGTTTTATGGTCTTTGGGTTTAGAGTGCAGGGCTTTGTGTTTAGGGATGTTCTTGGGCCAAATTTAGGGCAGCTGAGCTCCAAAATGCAGGTGACCGCACGCATGTACTTCGCAAAGAGCAAGCAGTGCTCCATGCTGAACAGTGCGCGGGCCCTATTCGGGTTTAGGGTTTAGGGGTTTGTTGGTTCAGGATGCTGGCTTCTGAGGGTTCTTGGATAGATTTGCAGGACCAGCAGTGGTTGAATTGCTCCATGCGTTTTCACCCACAGAATTAGGGGTTGCAAGGTGATGCTGAGGGTCGTGCATCCCGAGCTTTCTGCCAGCTTTCCCCGCAGATCTCGGCACTGCGCACCATTATGTAAGTCCTGAGTACTGTTAAGTTACTGTTGGTTGCCATCTTAATAGTTGATGGCAATGCTGCATTCCTAGCTTCATGCTCATTCATACTTGAATAGGTTAGTGTTGTTGCTGTCATTGGCTTCTGCTGTTGCTGTGGTTGTGGTTCTGGTTGGTGCTGATGCTGGTACTGGTGCTAGTGGTGTTGGTGGCGGTGGTGCTGGTCGTGGTATTCTTGTCGTTGTCGCTGTTGTTGTTAATGGTGGTGATGGCGGTGTTGGTGGGTGTGGTGTTTAGGGCTTAGGGTTGGGAGTTCCTGGTGTTTTGCAAGTACAGCAAACATCAGAATCAAATGAGCACACAGACACATGGCTGAAGTAGTAAAGGACACAGCGAACTTCTGAACCTTATAAGCACTGTAAATCAAGAGCTATACAACCCCGAACCCTATGCCCCGAGAACCAAGCAAGCACGAACGCCCAAATCCGCACTCTTTTTAGGCGCGCAGTGCTCCATGTACGCTATACTTCAACACAGAGGTGTACACTAGCAATCATTGCAGGTTAGTCGCAGGTCAGTATACGGGAATAAGCGTGAACTTCAAGATTCCAAAACCCTAAGCGCTAAGACGGATCCTTTGCTTAGTTGTGGCGAGTTTCAGCAAAGCCATCCGTCTTCGCTCCCCTTTCGAACCACGTAAGGAATAGAGCGTGAATCAAGTGAAGGACCGTTGTACGCCGTTTCAGCTTAAATGTGTAGAACCGAAGTCCCAACATCCCCTGAACCCTAGACCCACATCGCATGCAGAAACAAGCCATCGCACTTAAAGAATAACCTGTAAACATGCCCAGTCTTGTCAAGCTTGAAACCTTGAAGCCCTAAAGCCCTTAGCCCCTAAACCCCTACACCCTGCACTCGTAACCCTTAAACCCCTCCCTCATATCCCTGAACCCAAGAAGTCCCGACCGACCACCGCTGCAAGGTCTGCAGCCACATCGCCAACCTCTTCGAGGCAAGTCTTTGTGTCTTCAGGCCTTTTGGGTTTAGGGCTTCGGGTTTAGGTGGCAAGGATTGGGTACTGCCCCCCCCCACTCAGTAACAACTACATAATATTCATAATATACTCCCTCTCCCCTCAAATTAAACAGAGCCCCCCCCCCTCCACCAATCGAAACTCGGAAAGTGCTTTCCTTATTCATAGGGGGTGTTTTGTTTTAGTCTCTGTTGTGACTTTTGAGGGCTCTTGCTCTTGGTCCTGCGCGGGCTTTTGCTCCTGCTCTTGCAACGTCTGTTGCTCTCGCTCCTGTGACTGCTCTTGCTCTGGCTGTTTCTCCTGATCTTCCTCTTGCTTTTGCACTTGCTCCAGCTCTTGCTCTTGCTTTTGTTGTTGCTCTTACTCGACCGCCCTAGCGCAAAATCGCTTGTATTTTTAACAGGCAGGGATGATTTCGGGGGGATTGGCCCCAAAGCATTGTATCATTATTGCTGGTATCAGGGGGTGTTTAATACACGGAGGAAGTGATCAGATATATTTGCGCCCTAAATAGTAGCCGTATTACAGGCTGTTACTGCGCGGGGGCAGTACCCAGGGTGTCGTTCACGCATGGTCTTATAGGGTTTAGGGTTAAAAGGTTTATGTATTGTTTCGTGGTTGATAAGAGTTTAGGGCACGGTTGATGTATGGTTCTGGGGTTTGGGGGTTGGAAGTGCTGGGTTGCTTGGTTTAGAAGTGTTGAGTTTGGTGAAAAGGGAACCTGACGAACATACTATTCAACACAGTCGGCGGATGGATTAGAGAATCCGCCGAGCGGTTCTTCGATGGCTTTCGGGTAGTATAACGGGATTCGAGAGGAACTTGAATTTCCGTTGCTTTTGTTTTGGGTTCATTTCCAAGCTTGAGCAGCAGAAAAGCGGGGAATTCTGGCGGAGCTTAGAGAAGTAATTAGTAGGACACTCCCGGAGAGCCAAGTGCATCTCTCACTGAAGGAATGTTCCTGAAATCATGGTGGGCAGCCCATGACGTTGTAAAGAGTATCTTGAACTTTCGGAGTAGGTGGGATCTTGGGTTCCCTAAACCCTAAACCATTTGTGGTTCGGGGAGTTGACGGTCGTCAAAGGGGAGGACAAGCAGGAGTAGGATGAGTAGCAGGGGATTGGGAACAGCTGACACCCCCGGTCCTTTCATATGGCACTACTTGTCATGAACATGGAAAAGAACACCACAGCCAGAACAGTATCAACTGGAGCACTAATTTCAAGGGTAGATTTGATACTGGGGACACCGAGACATATTCGACAGAGGTCGTGCGTTTTTGAAGCTAATTGCGAATTGCCAGTCCAATCATGGCCATTACTGGCTTTAACAATCCTAAACCCTAAACCCTAAACCCTAACACAAATCCTTACTGCCAAGTCTGACTTCCTTCCCAGGGCGTGATGCACAAGTTTGAGTACAAGATGCGCTTGGCATGCTCCTCAGTGGTGCCCAGAATGCTGCAAACCCTGAACCCTAAGTCCGTAATGTGGATACTAACCGTAGCTACATTGCCTAAACTACTGTTTTTAGCGACCCATTAATTTTCAAGTAGGGTTCGAGTTGGTGGTTTGTGGTTTTTCGGGTTTCCGAAACAAAAGAAACTGCAAAGCGCAAGCCGTGAAGCCTAAACGCCAGACCCTGCACCGAAGTAGGAACCCTGATCTGCCTTTTAGATCCACCTGCAGAGCACCAGCAGTACTCCGAAGAGCCGCGCCTACTTGGAGGTTCAAGAATTTCCTAATTCATCATATTCTTGTATCGAAGTTTAGGGCATGCGTACCTTGGAAGAATGACATCTTCATTCGAGTTTGCACCAGGCCCTGCAAGCAATAGGTAACGAAAGTTCCAGCCGTAGTCTCTGCAATCAATGAGTTTCGCGCCCTAGGCCCTAAACCTCAAACCGTATAAACACGAAAACACCAAAAGCCCAAAGGCCAAGCCTGAAACCCCAACAGCCCTAAGCCTAGCCCCACTGTAGTGACAGGTGTATGCGCACTTCCCCATCAACGCCAACATCATCAACGGCGGCAAGGCCACAACCATCAAGCTTTGCCCTAAGGGTCCATGTACCCAAATAGTATTCACCTGGGTCTTTGAGTAGTCACTATATAGGTACACTGGGGCCAAAGTATATTTGGGTACATGGACCCTATTCGGGCAATCTCAGTCTCAGTCCCAGCCGGGTTCTGAATTTGTGGGGCGCTAGTCTTGGTTTAGGGGGTTTAGGGTTTAGGGTTTAGGGGTTGAGGATAAGGGTTTAGGGTCTAGGGTTTAGGGTTTAGGGTTTAGGGCTCGGCGAGATGGTGAGAGCCCGACGGAGAGCATCGGCCTGAAGCTGTCTCTCTGGGTACCTACCCTGGACGTTCATGGGTAGTTGTAAGTGGGGATGTAGGGTTCCTTTAAAGGGTTCTATATAGGGTTTACAGTCTAGGGTTTAGGGGTTAGGGTAGGTATAAGTAAGTGGGGTTACAAGTCTTTTAATATAGGTGTTAAATACAGTTATCCGACTTACAAGGCCACTTCTAACTAACAGGAACCTCCAAGTACCATCGGCGACAGGGCGAGGGAGAGAGAGAGAGAGAGATACAGGACAACCACGAATATGCTGAGTCCTAGTTCCTTTAGAGTTTCGGTCTGGTACTGACAGTCTCTGACAGTAATGCAGGGGAGTTAGTAATTAGAATAGGGTTTTGGGGGTTCATCCTACTTGGTTGATACCCATGACGGCGAAGGAATTACAGTATAACACCCCTCCCAAACCCTGTCCTAATGACTACGGCTCCTACATTAGCTCACGATCTGGGTCGTATCCTTATTGTAGAGCCCTTGCGCGCCTCTGAAGATCCCCTGAACCTTGCCCTGAACACTGGCCCCTAAAGAGCCCTTACAGAGCCCCTAATCTATAGTCTCCTTCTATAGTCTCCTTAGGAAAAATTTGCATTTTTGTTCATATACAACCCAAGAGAAGATCAAACATACTATTTTTGTCATGGTTCTCAGAGGGGTATAGTAATGAAACCCTTATAGAAGCCCAGTAGAGACCCCAAGGGAACCCACAAAGGCTTTCAATTAGTCCTTTGAGCCTGACCTAGACACGAAGCCAACAACACTAACAGCTAAGCACAAGAGCCCACCAGGACCCCCCAAACGCCCTTTCATAGAGCCCTAGTGGCCCTTAATAGTGGGCATTTGGGTATGTTGGAGGGTCGTTCGGGGGTCTAGGTATATAAACAGTCAGTTCTAGACAAGCTAAAGCAACAATTGCTTGGCAGACCGTCGAAATCCGAAACTTCTTGGGTGAGAAGGTTGTCCGCACCGTGACTTGGAGCATGCATTTGAGTTTCTGTAGGGTTCCAAAACTCTTCTACTTTAAGGGGTTCTGAAGGTTTGCATTATAAAAGCTGCGCAAGCACCAGCGTCGGTGCCCACTTCGGCGAAAATGAGCGTCTTGCGACGTCCTTGTCTTCTTGAAGTAGTATTGTCTGGCATATTGTATTATACTATAGTCTACTCTAGCATACTTCGTAAACACACAGCATATCATGCTTGATTTTGTTTATGTATAGTTGCGCGACTGCTAGGAGCATGTGGTCTCCCGGGGTGGCCATGCGGGGCTGCTGGGGTCCATTTGAAGATCCCTACCTGGAGGTTCATGGGTAGTTATAGGTGGAGTCATAAGTAGAGTCTCGTTATAATTACAACCCCATATTAGGGGACTTGTAAACCCACTTATAACTACCTATGAACCTCCAAGTAAGAGTCCTTGTACTCATATACTATATGCTTTGGCCTTAAAGCAGTCTCGATTAAAGTACTTTGCGTGGCCAAAGTGCACATTCTACGGGTACATGAATCCGCTGGGGACACTTGGAGGGTCGGGGGACTTAGTAAGTAGGTAGTAAGCAGACTTATAAGTACCCTAAAAGGGACCCTAGTTGGGGTTATGGTACTTATAAGTCCTTAAAATAAATAACCAGTTACAACCCGCTGGGGACACTGGTGTCGCGGCCCATTTCGTCCGTGCAGCCCCCGGCTGGCAGGGCCCAGGATGATAGCGTAAACGAAAACCCAGAGAGCCCAATACCCCTTAATTAAGGAATATAGCTGAAATCATACAGTAATCGCCCTTAATGGTTTAAGGATTATTCCTTACTTAAGGGGCATTGGGCTCTCTGGGTAAACCTAAGAAGATCATGGAGATCAGCGCGGAGTTGCTGACTTCTTGTGCAAAGGGGCTAGAGTTTACAGGTTGTTGTAGAAGGGTTCGGGTTTGGGGGAACTGGGAATGCCATTAATTAACGAGTCTGTGGTAGTGGAATGAGTTGTCCTGGCTTTTTCAGTTAACACTAGGGCGACGCCTCAATACCAAATTCTAACGATATGGAGACCCCGATGTTGCCCGTGAAACCCCGAGTTTAGAAGAATGATCTCCTGGGGTGTTAGCAGAGAGGCCGAATCGAGTGGCTTGGGGTATAGGATTTTCAAATTTTTGTGGGGTGCATTGGTCTTCAGGGTTCGGGGTGTTTGCAGATTTTGGGCTTAAGGGCTTCCCTCAACCCTAAACCGGTATGGGTGGTACCCAGACCTTCCAAAATCCCTTAATTAAGGAATATACCTTAAATCATAGTAGGATCCCTACTATAATTTAAGGTATATTCCTTAATTAAGGGATTTTGGAAGGTCTGGGTAGAGCTCCAAGTGCATTAGGTGCACATGCTGCCCGGTGTGACGGTGGAGAAGAGCGCCAGCACAAAGGATGGCCCAGCAATTTCGATCACTTCCTGTACACTACTACTAGGATGCCCAGTAGTACCCTTAGGGATCTATAAGGGTTCCTTAAACGGATCTATAAGGGTTCTATAAAGGGTTTAGGGTTTGGAACTCCAGAAAGTTGGAATATGGTTTCAGGGTAGGATACCTTATAATCTACCATAGAAGGGTCAGGATAGTCATATTCCAACTTTCTGGCTTTTACCTTACAGTACTATGAGGGTTTAGGGTTCAGGGAGGTTCCTATACCATGGAAAGTCCGATGCACCACATCCCGAAGCCCGAAACTCTGGCACTCTAGGCCCTATAGCCCCTGACCCAGATTTTGATGCCTAGGTTTCAGGCTGCCGGAACCTTAAATTCTAGCACCTCTAACCGCGTTAACACATAAACAGGACCATCAAACCCAACCACAGCCGAAAGCCATCTGGTAGGTTGCTTTGGGGGTACCTTGTTGTTGAGGGCCTTCAGCTTGCAGCACTAAGTAGGGTGTCTAGATTCGGAATTGCCGTGATGGTGTGGGTGGATACTTATCTCCCCTATACCCTCGACCCTACACCCTATAGACACCTCTAAATCTACACACTTGGGGATTGTTCCGGTAAGCCCTGTAAACCCTAGTTCCTCAACCCTACTCCCTACACTAAACCTAACCTCCATGCCCAGGCGAAGTTTAGGTCGCACGTTCGGGATTGCTGGAGTTTCCGAATATTAGGAGTACCTTATTTTGGGGTCCTTAGAATAAGGATCCTACTAGTTAGTGTGCTATGTTAGGGTCCTCTATTTTCGGAAACTCCCAGATTTCTTATGGCCTCTACCTGGGGTCCCTTCCATGTAGAGAGTCTCGTATATGAATGTCTGCAAAGGCCACTTGGGCCCTTTTGCGTTGAACCTCGTGCGGTTTAGGAGAGTCTCGTGTTAGACCAAACCCTAAACTCCTAAACCCTAAACCCTAAAAAGGGGTTCAAGGGACAACCCAGCGATTCATGCGTAGAAATCCAATCAGGGCTCGCCGACATCCCAAACTAGGGACCTAATGTTTCGACTACTCCAAAATTTCTGAACCCTAAACCCTAAACCCTTTATAGAGCCCTTATAGTACCCTTATAGTATCCCTTTAAAGGAACCCTAAGGTACCCCTAATATTCGGAAGCTTTAATTGGGGGCCCTGGGCTCAGGGCTCAACATCTGGGAAAGAGATACGTGCAACACTACTGGAGTTTCCGAATATTAGGGGTACCTTAGGGTTCCTTTAAAGGGATACTATAAGGGTACTATAAGGGCTCTATAAAGGCTCTTCAATGTCTCACTTAGTTGTTAGGGCTTCTATGGCTAGACCGTTGTGGAGTCTGCGCTTCGGCGCTCGTCCGTCCGTAGCACCTCAGCTTGGCTCAGATACTGAAACCCTAACAGTACTTCATACTCCGGATATTGAATTTTCCATACCCACCATGCAGTCTCGCGCTGCATTCCTGGCTGCGCTGCTGGCAACCACTACAGCTGCATCAGACCTAGAGTCACTCTTTATGGTGCCCCTGCAGAAGCAGTATGTGCCCATACGACGTGACGGCAACGTCGTGTCCTACAAGACAGCGTACTCTGGTCAGATCTACGTCGGTTTTCGAGAGACGCAGAACTTCTCGGTTGTCTTTGATACAGGTCCCTGGCAGTTCAGTATCATTTTGGAAGCGGTATGCTTTTTCGTACATTGGCTGTGGCTCAAAACTTTTCTTAACCAGCTAAGCACAATCTGTGTGCTAAATCCCTCATCCAAACGAGCCGACTTTTGATAACCCCCCTGGGAAGCATCGTTTAACGAGCCTTAAACCCTAAACCTCTCTTGTTCAAGGTTCTGGGCACTTCTTCCTCCCATCGGTGGATTGCAGCTCTGAGTCCTGCCGCTCACATCGGAAGTACGACGTCAAGCGGTCTCCCGGCTCTTCTTAGGTTTTGGATTTAGGGTTTGGGAGCTCAGGCTTAGGGGTGCCGCTTTGCTCTGGGGTGAGGTTTGGGAAAGTTTGGGGTTTTGAGGGTTCAGGGTTGAGCTGCAGGCTGGAGGATTTAATTCAGGGTTCAGGCCTCAAGGGTTTCAGGGCTTAGGATCTTGATTCTGATCTTGATGCAATGTTGCCATGGTGCGGGATAGGCATTTTTTGCGTCATGTTAACCTGAATAAAACCCGAAATCCTAGACCCTAAACCCTAAAAAAAGTGGATAAAGAGTCACTGCACTTTAATGAAAACCCCATAAAAACCACTAAACAACTAGCAGAAAGCAAGCAGTTCGTCGAGACATAAGTCGCCGTGTACGCTCATTGATCTGAGTCTTTCTGCGAGAGAAGGGAGGCTAGTGCACTTACCCTGAAAGCCCTAGACTTGCCTAAACAAACGAGCCCTAAAAATCCCTATATAAACCCTAAATCCTAAACCAATAAACCCTAAAAGCTCTAAACTCTAAATCCTGAGCCAATTAAGCCCTAGGCCCCTAAACCCCTAAACCCTGAAAACCCTAAACCTTATAAATTACAAACCCTAAAAACCCCTAAACTCTAAATTCTAAACTAATAAACCCTAAACACCCTAAACCGCAAACCCTAAACAAACCTAAACTTTAAATCCTAAGCCCTAAAAAACCTTAAACTCTAGATCCTAAGCTAATAAGCCCCTAAGCATCGAGGTCCTCGACTGCCAAGTTCGTGGACCACGACGGCGCTCCTGCGGAGCGCAGCGAGGATGAGGTGGACTCAAGCTCAAGTTGATGGTACCAGGTTTAAAGTTTTGGTGTTCAGGGGTTTAGGGGTTTAGCGCGTTTAGGGTTTAGGGGTTTAGGGTTCAGGGGTTTAGTTTTAGGGGTTTAGGGTTCAGGGTTTAGGGAGGGTTTAGGGTGTAGGGTTTAGGGCCAAATCTAAGAGGGCTTCTGTCAAAGTGAGCAATGAACTACGAGCCCTTTTTGAGCCAACCGGGTTGCCGCATTGCCGCGCGGAAGAATGCCACGCACCAAACTCAAGGTCCCCAAACAGTAAAGCCCTAAACCAGGGGCGTCTAAAAAAAAAAAAAACTAAAAACCCAAACCAAGTCCGTGTCAGTTGCCTGGAAGCATTTGTCTGCGTGCAACGACTGCACGACTGTTCAGCAGGTGGCACAGTCAACGTCGGAGGGCTGTCTTCTGTTCTTAATCTCCCTCCCTCTCTCTCTCTCTCTCTCTCTCTCTCTCTCTCTCTCTCTATATATATATATATAAATATACGTATATATATATATATATCTCTCTCTCTCTCTCTCTCCCGCCCTCGTTCCTTCGCTCCCCGCTCATACAAGTGCATTTCTGCACATATTATGTATATATACATATATATATATACACACGAGTTCTTTTATCATTTCAAAACATCTGTATACACTAGCTGATATACTTGGATATACCACATAGGTTCTGCTTAATGTATACGGGCATGCAAAACATGTATTATGTCTAATGTTTGTATATGTCAGTGCTTATGTCCCATACATGTGCGTATCCGTATCTGCTTGAAGCACTTGCAAAGCTGCCAGTTGTCCTAAACTCCAAACCCCCAATCCTCGACCGCCTAAACCCAAAACCCCTAAACCCGTACACCCCTAAACACCCAAACCCTGAATCCTACCCCTGAACCCTGCCAAACCCTGATTCCTATAAACCGTTCAACCCCAAGCCCTGAGCAACACGCGAAACCTAACGGTTGAGGGCTTAGGGCTTAGTGAGTTTATTGTTTAGGCCTCAACCGTGAACCCCAAAGCCCTAACCAACAAATAAGACCTAACATTCTTCTGTGGGAACCCTTTTACACATTATCAAGGCGCCACCCTAAGCCCTAAAACCCAGAGCCTTCAGCCCTGTAAAGCACTAAACCCTAAACCTCTAAACCTCTAAACCCTTCAACCCCTCAACCCCAAAATCCCAAACCCCAGACCCCTCTGTGGGTCAGAGGTGGCCCTTAATATAGCTAGGCTATTAATTATATACCCAGTCTTTTGCCCGTTAAAGGGTGGGGATGCCCATTACGGGTCCCTTATTTTGCTGCCCTTTGATCAGATCGAAGGGGGAATGGAGGGACCCTTAACGGGGACCCCTACCGTATAATGGGCTATATAATGGGTATGTAATAGCTATTTTTTAAGGGTATATAGCTAGGAGTCCTTATTAAGGGTCCCGTCGTTTGCCCTTTGATCAGAGGTGGCCATTAGCTTCGGCACCGGAAGCATCCGGGGGAACTTCGTCGAGGAACTGGTTTGCTTCTCAGAGCCCAAAGGCGCGTCCAGAGACTCTCCTTGATGGGTTTAGGAGTTAGGGTTTTGGGGTTTAGGGGTTTAGGGTCTGGGGTTTTATAGTTTGGGGGGTTTGGGGTTTTATAGTTTAGGGTTTTAGGGTTTGTATTTTTTAGGGTTTAATTTAGGGCTATGTCAGTGCATAGGAGGCCCCTAAACCCTAAACTCCCACGTCAACAGCAAAACCTAGAAGGCTCGTGGAATTCACGGCTTTCCCGTTATGAACCCTTAGCGTTTGGGGCTTAGGGATATCGGTAAGTGACAATGTCGGCAGTCACTTGCTTAGGGTCCTTGCAACAAGGATGCATCCAATGTCGGAAATGCCTACCTACAGGGGGTGGAGCGGGTTTGTTACCGTGTTGGTGGGTCCTTGTCACCACGGGTTTGTGTAGATGGGACATAGGTACATGAAGCGGCACCCGAATAAACTGCGACTTCTCAGGATCTACGAAGCCTTTTTGCTATCCCACTGAAGCGAAATGGTTGTGGGCTTGTTTCAGCCTTGGCTTTGGGCCTAGAAGATATTCATAAGATCCTTGTACTGTATAGCATTCTATACCATAGAAGAGTCCCTGAAAGCGTCGTGTTGAAACTCGTCAAAGCCCAGCAAACAGCACTGATTTCCGGCTTAAAAAGCCCACACTAACTGCTAAGCGTTACCCCCTTAACCCTAAGCCCTAA